TATTCTAACTGTATTTTTATATTAAAATATATATATTTATATCAAAATTTACTTAGAATTAAATTGTATATATATCTATATAAATTTATAAATGTATAAAAATAATACAAAATATACATATGTCCATATACAAAATTACATAAATAATTATATCAATATACACGTAGACTTCAAATATATAAATATGCATATATATTTAAATTCTACATGCATATTTATGTAATATTTTTACATAATTAAGTAATTTTATTAATTGCAATTTGAGGGACCTGCCTGCCAACCCAAGCCGAAAGTCCAGAGAATTTAATTTGCTAGCACTGTATTTTATCCTGTAACTTTCTATGACACCCTAAAACCTGTACATGGGGGGTACCGTTGTACTTGGTAGACTTCGCTGAACACACATATTAGTGATTCAAAACAGTAAAACATATCACAGGGATGATATTGTCATTGAAAGTGACTTTTTTAATTTTTCACACACAAACAGCATCTTTACTGATGATATAATTGTTGTGATACGTTTTACTGTTTTGAAACACTAATATTTGTGTTCAGCAAAGTCTCCCGAGTATAACAGTACCCCCCATGTACAGATTTTATAGCGTTTTTGAAAGTTACAGGGTCAAATATATGGGTCAAATATTTTTACATTGAAAATGGCCAGGTTGGTTACGTTGCCTTTGAGAGCGTATGGTAGCCCAGGAATGAGAATTACCCCCATGATGGCATACCATTTGCAAAAGAGGACAACCCAAGGTATTGCAAATGGGTTATGTCCAGTCCTTTTAGTAGCCACTTATTTACAAACACTGGCCAAAATTAGCGTTCAATTTAGTTTTTTACTTTTTCACACACAAAGAAATATGAACGCTAACTTTGGCCAGTGTTTGCGACTAGGTGGCTACTAAAAAAGACTGGAAATACCCCATATTGAATACCCTAGGTTGTCTACTTTAAAAGAAATATGTACATGTGGGGTGTTATTCAGACATTTATGACAGATAATAGTGTTACAATGTCACTATTGATAAATTTGAAAAAATGTATGTTTTGAAACCACAATATCCTACTTGTATCTATAGTCCTAAAACTTGCAAAAAAAAGCAAAAAAGCATGTAAAAACTGGGTATCTTAAAACTCAGGACAAAATTTTGAATCTATTTAGCAGTTTTTTTCATTAGCTTTTGTAGATGAGTAAAAGATTTTTCAAGTAAAAGTAAAAAAACATGTATTTATTTAAATTTTTCATAATTTTTAAAAAAAAAATAAAATTAAATTACATGAGATTATATAAATAATGGTATGTAAAGAAACCTTTTTTGTCCTGAAAAAAACAATATATAATTTGTATAGGAACAGTAAATGAGAGAGAGGAAACACAAACACCACAAAAGTCTAAAAAGAGGCCTGGTCGCAAATGTACAACATCGCAAAAACAGTCCAGTCCTTACGGGGTTAAAACATACATTTATAAAAACATTAGCAGGTGTACAAAAGGCCCTGTCAATGACATCACTTGCTGCTCCAGCCTGGCACAGGTCAAAGTATTTTGGCGGTTGCCATCTTGAAACGGTCGTATTTTACAAAATATACATCCTACAGTGATGAGCTTTATATTGTGAGAATGATAAGACCCAGACCTACATTGTGGTGCATCGTATGTCTCTGAAGTATTAAAAATGAAGGCAGAGTCGCAGTTTAGAAATTGCCCTTCAAGTTTGAATTGGCTAGAGTGGAGTTTCAATGAATGTCAATGGACGGCGTGAATTGCAAACAAATTGTCATATTGTGAAAACAATCAGGAGTATGGCTTAGCCATGGACATTTTTAGTGGCAGCAGGGATAGCTGAACGTTTGTCACGGCTGCTAGTGTGGTCCAACACGCAGAAACTATGTAAACATATACATACAAAAGGAAAGGAAATAAAAGGACAGAGCGTAAACCGGACCTTAGATTGGCTGGACTAACACGCTAGAGATAGAGAATGGTCAAAGGGAAAACCGAGGTCAAGGAAGCCAGAAGTACTCAGATACCATTTAACCCCTTAAGGACACATGACATGTGTGACATGTCATGATTCCCTTTTATTCCAGAAGTTTGGTCCTTAAGGGGTTAAACAAGCCAAGTCAGGGGAACCAGAATTCGGAATAACCAGGGAAAAGCAAAGATCAGGATACCAGGAAGTAATATTCACAAAGATAAACGTACTCTAGGGAACCAGGAACAGGAAACCACAACTGGGCAAGGTACTGGGGTGAATTAGGGATTTAAATATCCCTCTTTAGGCTCTGATTGGTCAGAGGGTGACCTCTGACCCCAGAACGTGCTCATGTGTTGACGTCGTGACGTCACGTGCACGTTCGTATAATTTTGGGGGGTGGAGCCATGGATGGACGCGACCTCATTGCCGGTGCCATCATGGATTTCCCCGACTCACGGCTGAGCAGGTAAGCTCAGTGAGTTGATGTGGCCGTGCCGGTCGTACACAGACACACATGGCGGCGAGCCGGGGGCCGTGACAACGTTTTAATATAAGATTTGTGTAGGTGGGCTTGAAAATGAGGGAGTGGTGGCAATTTAGAAATCATGTCCTGATTTTTCAGCTTTTGCCAGCTCCCACTCTAGTTTTGAACATTTTGCCATTCATTCCTATGGGACCAATTTCACCTACAAGAACGATGATATTCCGTGAACCATTCGGCGAAACGTTCCACAAAGTAATCGCAATCCAATTGGGACCAATCCGCACGTTTCGGTATATTACTGTCTATGTAGTGTAAAAACTGTGGGAGGAGTTAGGGTGGTAAATTTGGCTATAATAAGAATAAGAATAATATATATGTGAGATAACATTAAGTGGTCTTGCTATGCAAGAACACTTAATAATATTTATGTGAGATAACATTAAGTGGTCTTGCTATGCAAGAACACTTAATGAAAGGAGTAGCGACAAGGCAGTCCATCCCTATATCGTGTGGTTCTTCACAGTACAAGCAGAGTTCTGGGCTAGCGGAGCACATTTCCCCCCCCATCCCGCAGGACTGGTGAAAGGGCTGAAGAGAGCTGAGACAGGGCGGACCACCCTGAAATTGTGTGACTCATCAGGGCTGTGGAACTTTCTCCCCTGAGGATGTGGCCCGGCGTCTCTGTAGTGTATCCCCAGGCCCTCCCAACAGCCCCCCACCCCAACAAGATGTACACAGGCCCCACGGGAGTCAGGGGTCAGAAGGATGGGGCCAAGATGGTGGTCAGGGCCCAGCAGGGGAGCTTCCATCCCAGTGGATTCAACCATTTTCGCAGCCCCCCCAAAGCCCTTGTGTCTACCACTGGGGGTACCTGGATATCTCTGCGAGGTTCCTGTTGCTGGCCACTCCCAGCATTGGGTAGCAATTGAGGGTCCCGGAGTCACAGTGTGCGGCCTCGCTAGAACTGGGGTGGCCATAGGTCATGGGCCAGGAGGGTCGTGTAATGTGGCAAAGTCCCCAGGTTCAATGAAAGGACGTGGCAACTGGGAGTGGGTGAGTTTACTCACTCTTCCGGAGAGGCTGGGTTTCTGCGGCACCTGCTCAGGTGTCCCGGCGGGGATCCTATCTTGCGTCGTCTGGGTGCTCTCTGAGGTCTGGGTGGCGGTCCCAACGGTCCCAGAATCGAATTGATGACCTGTACAGGAGTGAGGCCCAGTTCCTCCATGAACCTGGGCACCTCATCAGGCCAGCGCAAGGCAACCCTGCTGTTGTAGTGTCGGGCTAGAAGGGCGAAGGGAAAGCCCCACTTGTGTGCGATGCCGCGATCTCTCAAAGCAGTTGTCACCGGGCGGAGCGCTCGTCGTGCCTCCAAGGTGATGGGAGACAAGTCGTTGTAGAGCGACATCTGGTCTCTTCTATAAGGCTAGGTGGGTCTTTTGCGGGCCTTCTTCATTATGGCATCCTTCACCGGAAAGGAGTGCAGGCAGCAAATCATGTCCCTCGGTCCTTCTTCCAGGGAGTCCAGCCTCAGGGCCCAGTGTGCCCTTTTAAATTCAAATCGCTGGGGAGTTACCGGTTGTAGGTGCGATTGAAAGAGCTCAGAGAGGATCTCCTCTGCATTTTCCTTTCCCTTGGTTCCCGGCACCCTGCGGATGTGGATGTCGCCCCCGGTTATCTAGGTCTTCAAGGTCCCACCTCATAGCTTGAAGCATGTGTCCCTGTCGGGCCACCACCATGTCTGCTGCAGTAAGCCTGAAGGTGAAGGCCTCCGCCGTCTGCTCCAGTGCACCTATGCGGCGCGTCTGTGAGGTGACTTCTGTGCAGATCCCGCCATCTCTGCCCTCAGCGTGTCCTGGATGGCAGTGGTAAGTGTTTGCAGGTCCGCCTTTGTGACCATAGACGCTGCTAGGCTTCGCAGTTCTTCCCCTATTCTGTCTAGTGCAGGGTTGTCTGAGCCCGTTGGGGATGTCGGCGCCATCTTGGGGCCAGACTGTGGCTGCAGAAAGCCATCTAGGAGCCCCTGTTGCGTACCTTTTGAGGTCTGTGAAGGCTCAGGGCGTCGGTTGCGACCCATTTGGGGCGGTAAGCTGATTATCAGGCGCTGTTTAGGGGTCTGGTGGAGCAGGTCTGGTGGGGCCCCCACGAAAGAGAGCCACCCACTGGGCAAAAGCAGCGCGGACGTGGAAGAGGGCAAAAGCCCTTACAGACTCTTCTGACTCTGGTTCGGATGTAGAGGAGGTTTTGAACGAGTCCGACGAGGTCGACTCAAACGAATGGGAGGTCTCCTCCCCGGACCATAGTCCGCCACGCGATACAAATAACCCAAAATATGATATCGTGGATTCATCCTCCATTTTGGATCCACAGGGCGAACCTCTGTTCGCCCACGATACATTACAGAATCCTAAGTCAGCGGAATGGTACCCAACTGAGCATGTGGCATGCTACATAGCAGACAGAATTTGTAGCCTTTGGATAAGGCCACCAGGAATAAACTGCTGGCAGAATGCCCACGCCCAACAGTCCCCAATATGGCCTGTGCTACGCCAGACATAGATCCCAAGGTAGCACCATTCCTGGGTAAAACTGGCTGGAAAGCAGAGAAGGGACTTGATTATTCCCTATGCCATTGCCAGGATAAAGTACTGGATACACTAGGCCCTAGTGCCAAAATCTTTGTGCCTGTCGAAACAGCCTTAACTGAGGGGACACCGTTAGATTTGTTAGCCATTAGAGGCTGGGCACAGAGATCCATTTGTCTCATCGGCAACACTAATGCCACGCTAGTCACCAAGCGGCGCAAAACCATCCTTATGAAAATAGAGCCCAAGCTCGTAAACATGGCCCTCACCGAACCGGGACCACAAGCCAAAGGTCTCCTATTGGGGGACAATTTTGTTAAGGAGTTAAGCACTTACGTAAGCACGTTTACAGACCTAGACAAGGCACAGACAAACATAAAGAGAGTGTTCTCTCCCAGAGTTTTTGGTGGGGCCGGCAGACACCGGGGCCATCTGCCCGGCCGTTCATCCAGCGGTTCATAACAGGGATACCAAGGTCCCACTGCGGCTAGATTTCAGCCGCCATAAAACAGAGCACCCTCACCCTTTTTTCCGGTCAGAGGCAGACAATGGCAACCTCGAGGAAACAGAGGCACCTCATACAGCTGACGTCCTTATGGTGAGTGCACTACCTTTCCCCTCCCCAGGTATACATATCGTGGGGGGCCGACTGTTACACTTTATAGAGATCTGGCAACAATTGACAGCAGACTTTTGGGTCCTAAATACTGTCTTAGGGTAACGCATAGAGTTTGTACAGCCCCTTGTCCAAACAGCCTGGCCACACTGAATAGCATTCTCCGCACACGACAAGAACCTGGTGACCAAAGAGATTCTCTCACTTCAAGAAAAAGGCACAATATTTCAGGTTCCCTCACCCTTCCTGGGGTTCATGAGCAATCTATTTCTGGTATCCAAGAAGGGAGGCGGAGTCCGCCCAGTCATCAACTTGCGACCTCTAAACGCATTTGTCCGGTACTGCCATTTCAAAATGGAAGGTATCCACTGTCTATGAGACCTGCTCAGGTTAGGGGACTGGATGGTCAAACTAGATCTGCAAGATGCCTACCTGTCACGTATTCATCCGCTTATAGAAATGTGGTTAATGACATTTACTGTCCACACAGGAAAAGTTGTGCCCAGCAGCAACCTAATCCACAGAAGGTTTAATGCTGAGCAGTAATTGTGCAAATGAAACCTGGTGTCATGTATTCATCTGCTTATAGAAATGTGGTTAATGACATTTACTGTCCACATAGGAAAAGTTGTGCCGAGCAGCAACCTAATCCACAGAAGGGTTAATGCTGAGCAGCAATTATGCAAATGAAACCTGGTAACTGACTTTGGGGTCAAAGGCCGGTTACAGCCTATCAGAAAGAAAGGAGGGGTATTTAGGCCCAGTTCTCAGCCTGCTCAGTGCCCTGTCGTGGTTTCCCTTGTGGTTGTCCGAGAGCGCGTTCCTGTTTATAGTTTTCTACCTGGTTTTTGACTTTGGCTTTGTTTATTGACTTCTCTATATTCTGGTATCCTGACTCCTGGCTTTCCTCATCGCTGTGTCCCTTTCTGTGTTCCCTGACCTCGGCTAGTATTTTTGACTATTCTTTGTACGTTAAATCCGGCCATTCTAAGGACCGGTAATACGTTACTTATTTGTCATCCGTGCTGTACAGTTCTACGTGCTGGATCAAACAGTAATCCTGACATTACGACAGGGCCATAGATCCTGTAGAACTGTGTCAGCACATAGCTGCTTGCGAGAGGAAATTAGAGGAGAATGATCACCGCATGGATCAATGCACTCAGGCTTTAAGTACGCTTCTCGCTAGAACGGAGCATCTGCAGCCTGCAGCATCTCCTCCTATAGCACCTCTACCTTGTGTACCTCCACCCACTGTTAATATGACTCCTAGCATCTCCTTATCACCATCCCTACAGTTTGATGGCAATATCCAGGAATGCAGGGGTTTTCTTAATCAGGTGGAGTACCATTTTGAGGCCTCACCAGGGTCATTCCCCACGGACAGAGCAAGAATTGGTTATCTAATGAATCAATTAAAGGGCAAGGCCCTTGCCTGGGCTAATCCGTTGTGGGAGAGTAATCGGAGCATAGCTCATAATTACCAGAAATTCCTTGCCGAATTCAAGCTCACGTTTGAGCCATTGGGTAAAGAGGATGACGCCTCCACTGCCCTAATGCACATCAGACAAGGTAACCGGTCTATCTCGGATTATGCTATTGAATTCCGTACCTTAGCTTCCGAGGTAGACTGGACTAACAATGGGTTAATCTCAGCATTCAAAAAGGGTCTCTCAGAGACTATACTAGATGAGATAGCCGCTAAAGAATTACCTAAGAGTCTTAACGAATTTATTACGTTTGTCATGCATATTGATAATAGGTTAAGACTCAGAGAAGTCACCAGAAGCAAGACCAGACGTACGGCTATGTCCCTAGCACCTCAATTCTCTAAACCTGTTTTGTCTAACCTCCCTGTACAGTCTGAACCTGAACCTATGCAGTTGGGGGTCACTAGACTGTCAGAGGCCGAAAAACAGTATAGGAGAAGGGAGGGGTTATGCCTATATTGCGGTAGAAAGGGACATATGATAACTAATTGTCCAGTGCGTCCGGAAAACTTCCGCACCTAAGAACCTTAAGGGGACAGATCTTAGGTGTGATGGAGTTGTCCTCTAACAAAAACAAAAGTAGATTCCTCCTTGAGGTATCTATTTCCCTTGATAACAAGAAGTTTTCTTGCAGTGCCCTAATGGACTCAGGTGCTGCTGTAAATTTTATTGATGTCCAGTTTATTAGGGGTAATGAGATACCGGTCAGGGAGAGACCTACGCCGCTAGCTGTAGAGGCTATTGATGGTAGACCACTCACACAACCGCTTATAACCCACAAAACTGTCCCTATTACGATCTCCATTGGGGCCTCCCATAGGGAGGAGATGACGTTTCAGGTTATTACTTCTCCATCATGTCCTATCATATTAGGGTTTCCGTGGCTGAGTAAGCACAATCCCTATATTGACTGGGCTAATGGGGAGATATTAGAATGGGGTAAAGAGTGTATGGGGAGATGTATAAAACCAGTACTAAAGAGATTGGATACTATTGACCTTCCCACTACCACTCCCCAAACTCCTGGAGTTCCCATACAATACCGAGAACTTCAGGAGGTGTTTAACAAGGCTCAATCTGATGTATTGCCTCCCCACAGAGCATATGACTGTCCATTAACCTGTTTCCAGGCGCTATGCCACCTAAGGGGGCAGTTTATGCCTTATCTCCCCAGGAGAGTAAAATAATGGAGGAATACATCAAAGAATCCTTGAGCAAAGGGCACATAAGAAAGTCATCCTCACCAGCTGGTGCAGGATTCTTTTTTGTTGAGAAAAAGGGTGGTGAGTTACGCCCTTGCATAGACTACAGGGCACTTAATAAAATCACTGTAAAAAATGCATACCCTATCCCACTCATTTCCGAATTGTTCGATAGACTTCAGGGAGCTAAAGTATTTACTAAGCTTGACCTTAGGAGCGCTTACAATTTGGTTAGAATTAAAGAGAATCATGAGTGGAAGACGGCATTTAATACCCGTAGTGGACACTATGAATATCTGGTAATGCCATTTGGGTTATGCAACGCCCCGGCCGTATTCCAAGACTTTATAAATGATGTACTCAGGGAATTCATTTACTCATTTGTCTTGGTTTATTTGGACGATATTTTGGTGTATTCCCCTGATCTTCAGACTCACCACTCCCATGTGAAACAGGTTCTGCAGACGTTGTTGAAAAATAAACTTTATTGCAAATTAGAAAAGTGCATATTTGACCAGCCTGAAGTCCACTTTTTGGGTTACAACATCTCTGCATCGGGATTTCAAATGGATCCTAAAAAACTAGAGGCTGTACTACACTGGCCATTACCCTCTGGTTTAAAAGCCATTCAAAGGTTTATTGGTTTTGCCAACTATTACAGAAGATTCATCAAGGGATTTTCTTCTGTAATAGCCCCAATCACAAATATGACTCGCAAAGGGGTTAGTAGCACGGTATGGTCCAAAGAGGCTGTGAATGCTTTTGAGACTCTTAAACAAAGATTTGCCTCTGCGGACATACTAAAACATCCCGACACTAGTAAACCTTTTATATTGGAGGTTGATGCATCCGAGACAGGGGTAGGGGCTGTTCTCTCTCAGAGAGAAAGCCAGGGAACACCATTGCATCCTTGTGGCTACTTCTCCAGAAAGATGTCTCCTGCTGAGCGCAACTATGATATTGGCAATAGAGAACTTTTTGCCATTATTCTTGCCCTCAAGGAGTGGCGACATCTTTTGGAGGGTTCCAAGGACCCCCTGTTGATCATAACCGACCACAAAAATCTGGCATATATAGGGGATGCCAAACGTTTGTCTTCCAGACAGGCTAGATGGTCACTGTTCCTTTCACGTTTTAACTTTCTCATTACTTATAGACCTGGTTCTAAAAATACCAAGGCTGATGCCTTGTCCAGGCAATTTGATAATGAGTCAGCTCCGGAACAGGTGACATCTCCTATTATTCCACCAGAGTGTATTATTGCCACTACTGTCCTCTCACTGTCTTCTCCACTGCTTGGCACCATACTGGAGGCCCAGCCTCAGGCGCCCAGTGGTAAACCGTGTGATAAACTGTTCGTTCCCCTATGTGAAAGGGTTAATATCATGAAAGTGTTCCATGACAATATAACTGCTGGACACCCAGGCATCAATAAGTCCACTGCCGCGATCACTAGATCATTTTGGTGGGATTCACTCAGGAAAGATGTAAAGGAGTATGTGCAAGCATGTTCTGTGTGTGCAGTTTCTAAGGTGACTCATGCACTTCCTTGTGGCCTGTTGCAGCCTCTTCCTGTTCCTGAGATTCCATGGTCCCACTTATCCATGGACTTTATTGTAGAGCTTCCTAGGTCTGCTGGGTTCACTACTATTCTCATGGTTGTAGACCGATTTTCTAAGATGGCTCACTTCATTCCTCTCAAGAAGTTGCCATCTTCGCAAGATTTGGTCCTAATTTTCATACGTGAAATTGTCAGTTTGCATGGCATTCCCCACAATATTGTGTCCGATAGGGGCTCTCAGTTTGTGTCCAGGTTCTGGAGGGCGTTCAGTAAACAATTGGGGATTGATCTCTCCTTCTCCTCCTTCTACCATCCACAGACCAATGGTACAGCTGAGAGGGCTAACCAGTCATTAGAAGTTTATTTGCGTTGTTTTATTAATAGCACACAAGACAATTGGTCCGAACTACTCCCGTGGGCCGAGTTCGCTAGAAACAATGCTGTTCATGACTCCTCTGGGCACAGTCCATTTTTTGTCAATAATGGTTCTCCCTGCGGTATTTTCTGATACTGTCATTCCTGCTCTGGATGAGCGTCTGGCCTCCATTCGGGATACCTGGGTTAAGGTTCAAACTGCTCTAGGGGCTGCTGCT